TATTTTTTTCTCTTTATATATATATATATATATATATATATATATATATATATATTTAAAAAAAATGAGAAAATACGTTTGATGTAGCCGTGTAGGTTAAATATATCGTTGACTTTTTAGAATAAAATCATCTCTCTTGCTGTCATATTCTCTTACCAACACAAATAAATAAATAAACTCTGCATTCATTCATTTATTCTTCTTCTTTATCTAATTTGAAGAGTTAATCCTCGTAGACATTTTAGTTAAAATTAAACCAGCCCCGGGGTTTCTTGCCAAAAGAAATATTATAAAATTGGGGTTTAGTAACAACTTTATTTATTTAACCAATTTTAGCTGCACCAATTAATCAATTTTAAAGTAAAATAATTTTTTAAAATAATATTTAAATTATAATATACTGTCATTTTTATAGTAAATATTGTATTTTTCTTAAATGATTTTTTTTAACATGGTAAATGATTAAATCATATGTTATATTTTGATCCATTTTAATATAAGCAAGTCAATATGTGATGATGAATAAATGCATCTTTTAAGAATATTTCTCTTTAATTTTTAAGGTCGGGATAACTAATTTTAAAAATTGTGTTGTTGTTCTATAATGCATTTGTAATAACTAATTTATAATTTATATTTATTTTATAATATAAATATTTGTATAAGATTATCAATTTCGGAATATGTAAATTAATTGTAACGATCCGTCAAAATCTTTATATTTAACAATTTAAATACCAGTAGCGAAAAAGATAATTATAACTATTTAGGATTAACATGTAGATAATTCTTGAAAATACAAATAATAATATATGTATAGAAATATAAAAATCAACTAGTAATAAAATTGTTCCTTAGTGGAACTATGACATATCCTATACACACATATATAATAATTTAAAATAAAACTAAAAGTATGAAAATCCTAGTTATCGATCCAGCAATATAACTATAAAAGAACTATTACATCATGGTAGTACAAAACATCACTACCATCTAGCACAACTCCTAACTATAACTCCTCATTTAGCTAACCCTACCATACTCCTACATTAGTGTGATTATCACAGTTCAACCCACAATGAAACATGCAAGAATAAGCTAGTATTCAAAAGAATCAACAATTAATTAACTTTAAAGTATACAACCCATACTAAACAATTTAGCTTCACAACATTTCAACATGTTCAACTTTCCACACAACTTGACTATTCATCAATGAGTTAACATAGCATGTGAATAACATAATACATAAATACATCACATGCTCAACACACCATTCAATTTGAACAACACAACAACATTGTACTCATCAACCAACAAATAACATATGTACAACATTTTCAAACAACTCAACAACATATGCACAACACAAGTCATCACCATTTCAACTAAGATCTCATACAACACAAGTGACTTGATCTTACTGAATCAACAATGCACTCTTTTTCAATACAACTTAATCAACAATCAATTGGATAAAAATTCACAACAACATGGTTTCTCAAATTTTTTCACTATGACTATGAAAGTCTAGTATTCTTGTCAAGATAGAACAATTTGGGTGTGGATCTACCATGACTTTGACATGCATAACTAAGTCTCATATGGGATTAAGTTAGTGACTAGCCTCCAAATACCATGTCCCTTTTAGTATTTAGTTAGGAATTTTGACCCCCAATCTTGTACCTTACTTTAAATTGGCCGCTTTATATATGTATGACTTAACTTAGTTCTCATACGAGTTAACATTGGTCAATTTGTAATCAGTATAGCTCGACTTGACCCTTATATTATGGTCACTTATAAATAATATGCCTTAACCTTGCTCACATATCGTATCAACTAAGGTTCTAAAATAGACTCCACTATCCATTTCAAAGGTCAACTTCCTGAGAAGAGTTTTCAATAAATTGGACTCTTGAAGTACCACAACACAATATCCTCACAATGGGATATTCAACTTTTAAATAACATTTCCTTTAGTCCTAAGTTGATTAATACAATTCAACAACATGCCTTAAGCATTCTCAACTCAACCAACTTAATATCCAACATACAACTCAAATAATCACTTTCAACCATTTAATCATTTATATACATTTTCCTAGATCAATGTATAAAGATCCAATTTCATACATAAACGTATAACATGTAGTACTACGACTTACTCACATTATGTTCAACACTTAGCCACAAACAATATATTTTCATTCGGCAACCCATGCCCAATGTCATTCCCCCATGCCCAGTGTCATTGAGACAAAGAGCTCTTGAGCTCGCCGATGCCCGACACTCATCTACCCATGCCTAATGTGGATGAGACAGGAAGCCTCTATTTTCTCTTACGCCTGGTGTGGCCAAAATCCACTTCTGACTTAATTTCAGGCAAAAACTCTGCCTGACTCATACCTGACGTTATTGAACTAGCATCCGACGTTATTAAACTAGTGTCCAACACCATCTAGGTAGAAAGCTTCTATCTTGATCATGCTTGGTACCACTCAACTAGGGTTTAACATCACTAAGTTAGAGAGCTTTAAGGCTTCCATGCCTAGAATGACCAAATTTCAAAGTTTTCCTCTCACTCATGCTCAATGTTACCAA